ATTGCTACTGGGTGTTGGATCTCAGTGTCAGAAGCCTGGCGGTCTCTCTAATTCTCCTCCTCTCCCACCTCTCCAACTCAGCCTGCTTTCCAGTTATGAGCTAACTCTTCTGAAAATGGTACACTGAGCATGTATGTTCTCAGATTGTTTCCTGTGACTATGTGTCCTCACTCTCTTGGTAGTCCCAACCTTGAACTTAGCCTCTAAGCTCCTTGAGGGCAAAAGCCTGTTGGCGCATAGTAGGTCCTCAACCAACAGTTGCCCACCAATTATCCCTCCAAGGGACCAGCACCTGTACTTTAATCATGTCTCACCATCCACAAGCTTAATGTCTGGGATGGCCGGTGGCCTCAGCCCGCTAAGAAATGAAACTTCTGGCAACTTCGAGAACACTGAGTCTTCCTTTCCTTGCCTGTCTGTCAACGGGTGGACAGGATCTGGGCGAACGCTGACTGAAAGGACTTCAGTGTGGCTTCTTCTCGGGTCTGTCCTAATGAAACATCCAGCCAGCAACTGAAATTAGAATTGCCGTGAGTCACACCGTGAGTCACATGGGTTGTCACAGCAACTTACGAACTATATAACCAAAGCACCTTCCATTAGCTTTGCCAAGAGTGGTTCTTGAGTTTTCCTGGACTGGGGAAAAAAAATGTGGGTGAGCCCCAAGTTTGGGGTTGCTAAGAGTCTACAACCAAAAGGAATAGCCTCAAGGAAAGGAAAAGAAAATGAGAAAATAAGGTGATTCTAGACCTCCCAAGTAAATGGCAACAATAGTGACAAACTGTTGGGTTGGTTTTGCAATAGCAACGAATATCCAACGAGAGGAGGTTGAGGCCTCCAAACTAATTTTCTCTAAGTCAAATTCAAAGCCAAGCCTCTAGGGGTGAGAAGTGAATACATTAACCTAGTCCACTTTAAACGATGGCAAGAAGTTTTTTTTTTAAAGACACAAAGGATTTGTTCTGAAAGAAATATTCTGATTTGTACTAAAATATTTTTACTATTGAGAGCTAAAATCTCTTTAGAAATAATACGGGTCTTTAATTTTATGTTTCAGGCATCAGCCTGCTGCCACCAAATATTTGCAAATGTACAAAATTCCCTTTTCACGGTTATTCGGGTTAAAATTAAAAATTTCAGAAGGTTCAAAAGCATACTTTTTTTTTGGTTATTTATTAGGGAAAACTGACATTCCATTGGATTAAGCTGACACGCTTTCCTGACTGCTTGCTGAGGAACCTGTGATTTTTGCATGTTGGGGAGTGCCTGTTTCTGAGTGTGGAAGAAAGCAAACTTAAACAAGAAGAGTAAGGAATATAAACAAGGATGCGAACAGGAGGAAGCAACCATGGTCTGTTGACTCTGGAAGCACTCCAGGTGCGAACCAGGTATCCGTCGGGTCTGGGCTGTGATGGCTTGCTGGTGTATCCCCTAGGGTGATGACTCTGCATTGCTAAATTGCCAGTCGCGAGAAATAACCAAGATTTTCTTCTGTTACAATGTATACTTTTTCACCTCCATATTTGTCATCTTTTAACATTTTAGTGAATACAGAACTACCCAAGCAGAATTAGATTAGTCAGGAGCAAATGAACAGTTGTCCTTGGCAAATATAAAAACCAAGAGAGCAGTTGATTCCAAGAAAAAGATACTTATCTACATGGTACTTTTTCAGCAGGGAAGGGACCAGAACCGACTCACGAATCATCAAAACAAAAGCATTCTGGAAAGTGTCTGTCCAAGTACACGTGCTATAGAATCAACCACGAAAATTAAACTGAAATTCTACAGCACAGGGTAAAAATTTCTCTAGTCCCGCTCCCACAGGCAAAAACTTCCTTTTCTATTCCCACACCAAAACCCAGTGGCAACATCTCCTGTCAGCAACTGAAGTACATCACAAATGAAAGAATTCCTTGACCCATCTGCCATGAGGACATGTGCTAGATGCCCCCCAAACTCTGCCTCCCCCCCGCCCCCCGCCAAGTAAAGTTCAGAACACACACTGAAGGTACCATCCTAGGAACTCCGCAGAATCTGGTTTCTCCCAAGACCACGCGTGTGGATTTCTCTGAAGCGAACAACCAGATTTCCTTTCCTGGGAACTTCCAGCTTAACTCACCCCAAACATCTTTTTCTTAAAGAAGCAATACCTGTGCTTTCCAGATAACAAGGTGGCCTAAAATATTATCAAATGTCACAACCTATTCAAGTTCATTTTGTAGTTCTTGTGCCTCTGACTGGTGTACCTGTGAGCTGACACTCTGGTCTGATAATATATTCGGCAACCGTACATGTTAATTTGTAAGTGGAGCAATCTCTCTGTGAGAGCAGTTAGGAAAATCAGATTGAAACTGCTAACGTGAGGTGACTTTAGCCAGGGATGATTATGTAGTCAAGCGCTGACCAGGGTTTCCAGAACCCTGGCTAAGAGTGGAAGGCTTGAGACTGTCCAGAAATGAATTCACCCTCTTCCCTAATAGTGAAACTTTTTGAAGAACAGATGTCAAGATGATTTAAGAGGAGCTGGAATTCAACATCTTAAGAAAACTTATCGGCAGGTTGGGACAGTTCAGTTTTCAAGAAAAATCCAACCGATGCTAAAGAAGTCATTTGGGTGACAGTTATTAGAGAAAGAACTGATTGATTTTCTTCCTCACACGTTGTGGGGCCTGCAGAGATGCTGAGATCTGAAATACGGTGGGCTGTCTGCCGAGTTGTGACAAAAACAGTCTCCACGTTTAAGTGGCATGGAAGACTTCACTAACATTCAACCTGGACAATTCAGTTTCTCTTTGGCGAGTGCAAAGATTCATGCCAGCTGTCCATTCAGGAGCTACCCTTCCCACCTTGTCACCGGACCAGTTGATTTTGGGCCCTGCCCCGCAAACCATGAAAGTAAAAACATCGACCAAAAAACCAAGATGATTTCTGATCTCCTTCTATCAATTTAATATTTGAACTACATAAAGGAAGCTTTAGATCTTTCTACATTAACGTTATGTTTAATCCCCAATAATTTTCCTGCCGATTTTTATCGTTAGAAAGACACTCTGGCTGTGTCTTGATTTTATTTTAAAGCGGGTACAGCTGATAGAGTTCGCTAAGCTTCTATTGAAAGACCAGCCTGGTTATATTGCCTGTTACTGGAACGCCTTTTTTTCCTTGCTAGCTACCACTCTCATGCTGCACCTAAATCCTTCCATAAATTTAAATCCAACCACAGGTTATTTTCTGTAGTAGGCAATGAAATCCTCCTTAGGGATGACAGTTCCTTAAAGGTCCTGATGGATGGATGGTCTGTATGTTGAGTCACATCTATTGTCTCTGTCTTAGTAGTTGAGGGGGTACTCTTTGCATGCCATCGAGCAGAACTAGTGGTTTTTATCCACTTATCCAGGAGCCAAGTCATAACCCAAATAGTCAGCGGCTTTCTGTACAATGTCAGGGGGGCCAGGAGCCCCTACCCCACACCGCCATAAACAGTCATCCGCCCCTGCTCCGGAGAGGCCCAGGGCCGAGCTAGCAGAAAGACTGAATTACTTACCACCTCTAGAGTGGGTCCCTCCAGGCCAGGGACGAGCTCATGGGCAAGGCTGTGCAAGGAAGCGCTCTGTACCATGCCTGCCCTGCGGATACACAGAGGACTTCAGTCTCCTGCACTGTCAATCTCTCAGTTATCATGAGCTCAATTACGCACCGACAACAGCGAGAACAACAATGACGGAGACAAAACCACCCCCAGAAAAGCTGAGGACCACGGGCTGCCCTGGAGGCGGGGCAGCCCGCGGAAGCTGTGCAATGAGATGAGCTGCTGTCCTGACCACACGTCCGTGACGGACCTGAGCTTTCCCTCTCTCCTCAAACAAACATCCCGTGGACGGACTGCAGGCCGGGGCCCTAAAAGTCAGGTAACCATCAAATTTGGTGGGGTTTTTTTTGGGGGGGTGCTTTATTTTGTTTGTTTCTTTTCTACAAATACAGAGAGACAGACAGACAAACCCAAGAGCAGATTTCAAGAATCAACTGAGGCACAAGGTAGACTGCTTTGATGGAACACAGTTTTTTTCCTCTAAATGGTTCATGTGAAATCAAAAATTTTCAAAGCATAATTAGGAAAAACATGGGGACATGTCTTTGTCGGCCCTAAACTGTGCCGTAAATGTCCCCATCACTTGCCTTAGAAGGGTGCCCCAATGCATCTTGTAGGTAGCACGTTGTGGTCTCAAATGGTTATCGAATTCCAATGACACTATTAATTCAAAGTCTAAATAATACTCTGATCAAGTACAGTGAAGGTTGACTGCTTGCTAACAATGACATATTGGTTTCATCCTGAGGTTCAAGGCACAGTCAAACATCATTGCTCTGATTGCAAATCACAACATTTCACACTGACGTGAGTTTGTTAACTCATGGTGGAGTTCGAATGAAGGCACTTGATGAAAGCAGCTGAACCTGAGAGGTGGGAATGACTCCAGAGGATAAACCCAGCGCACAATTCCACATCAAACTACCCATGCCATTTACCAGGGCCCTCAAAGGCCACACTTCTGGCCGAGCGGCAGTACCTACATTCCCGGTCAGTATCTCTGCTCCACAGACACAAGTACAAAACGGCCTAAGTCGTGAACTCGTGGTGAGGAGAATGCGACCAAAGTTTAAAAGAAAACAAGGTGATGTTTCCTAGAAACATACCAACTCTTCTAAGAAGGATCCAGAGTAAGGGTGATCAGTAAGTAATTCATTGATCCTCCTGGCTAGATGTGATGGCTTTTTCTAAAGAGCATTGGCTTGAATCACTAGAGTTCATCAGACTATGTCTGCACTCTCTTTAACACACACTCAGTACAAACAGGTGGAGATGTGCCACTTCCGACCTCTGTTGACCATGGATGACAGCTGAAACACTAGTTTATACTTGAAAGGTCACAGCAGCCAGACATATGCGAATTCCAACTCTTCAGAAAACTTTGGACAAAAAAAAATGCATTACTTACATGTATGCGTCTTCTTTGTTACTGAGATACCTAGAAGAGAAGAAACAATGACAAAAGTAAGAAAGTATCCAGGATGTAGTTCTTAGGATGTCCATCATCCACAGTGTACTCAGAAGCCCATTTTGTTCAGATGAGGATGAGAGGTAAGATGAACCTTAACCTCACAGAGCTCCATCACTGGATCGACCCCAGGGTGACGCGACCATTAGTGATGGGGGCAGCGAGCATCACCTTCTGGCTTAAGGGATGCTGTGGTAAAAATAGCAGCGCGCACAGTAATTAAACCAAGTGAGAGAAGACTCTTATTTTTACTTTAAATAGGGGAGAAGATCATGTTTATAGGCAGAGTGGGGAAGATTTAAGGCACAAGAGAGTGATGCCAACCGACTCAGACAAGAGTGAACTGAGCAACAGAGCAATTAATTTGCCACGGCCATTGATTTGGTGTTTACTTTTTAATGAAAATGACTCTTCCTGCTCACATGAAGCATAACTTCTAATGGGGAGGGAAAACGCATCCACAAAATGTGCCTCTCTGTCTGTACTCATTAAAGTCAAAAGGGGCATGACAGCTCCTTCGCTGTACACGGCAGCAAAATGAACACACGCTGGATGAAAAGATGAGGAACTCATGAGTCAGCACCCTTGATGTCTCCAAGATGATTTACAGAGAGCAGGTGAGGCACGGAGCGAGGCAAGGTTCCGCACACGAGACCACAGACAGACACCACGAACGCAGGCTTCCATGCCAACAGCGCCATCGCCACCTCAGAGATTCTCCATTTTCAACTCTTTATTTTCCATTCTTCTCGGGGAGAGGGGGGTGAGATGCTTGAGACCAGATAGGTTCAAGGTTAACAAAACTCTTGGGAACATTTAGCCTGTGACTAAGAAGGGTGGTCAACCTTGCATTTTTTTTTTGTCTTTCAAGTTATTAAGGGAACGATTTAACCCTCCTCGGGAAAAGTAAAGTTGTTGAAAACCTTGGCGCCCACATCAGACCAATTACCGAGCTATGGAACGTATCGTACAGGAAAGAAATCCGTTCTGAAAATCCATGGTAGACATAAAGAATGTTAGTTCCAAAGTTGTGCGCCAAGACCAAAATCACACACTTGTTCTCCACACAACTTTCCAAAGGACTTATTTAAGGAAGCTGAAATTACATAGCCCGACTCAAAACCTTTTTTCCCCTCCTTTTATTGAGGAAAACGAAACGATCGCTTTTCATTATGTTTGACTTGGCTTTGCGGAGTGAAGTGAGGACCGTCTGCAGAGTCTGGGAGGCTCTCTCACGTGGACACTCACCAGAGTGTTCTAGGAGTTCTAGGAGTTTCTGAAATGAGCTTTTTTCACAGGAAGGGAACTTTCCTCAACAGCAGGAGTGAGTAAAGTTGAAAAATCTGAATACCATTTGCGACTGGAGCTCCTGACATCAGCACCAATACACTGATACACGAGTGCTCTTTCAGCATTATGAGAGATACCTGTGTACTTTCCTTAGCAAATACTGCTTTCTGTAAAATCACTTTGAAGAGAAAGCGCACATGCTGTCACTCCTGATTATTCAGAACCTTCACACAATTGGATTTAGCACAGCCCCAGACAGACCTATCTATATTCGCTGAGTGTGGAACTGCTTTCTCCTGACATCCAAAGGCCTGATGAAAATACCACGGCTTTGACTTTTCTACTTAAATTTATTATACAGCGTGAGGCAGTGTTCTCATCAAATATTTTCATGACGATTAGATTGATAGTAGATTTGGAAAATCCTTCCAGGAAAGCTGCCTGATCTTTGAGATCACAATAGTGCAGAGCTGAGACTTCTCGTATCTGTCTCCAGGAGACAGTGTGACTTCGGCCACAGCACTAACTCGGTCCCTCAGTTTTGTTTAACTGCCAATTAGTGATCAGGAGAAATAACTGGGGGACAGAGCTATACAAAGAATTGCCAGATTTAGCAGAGACAATACAGGATGCCCGGTTACATTTAAATTTCAGACACTAGTAATTTGTTGCTTATCCGAAATTCAAATATAAACTGGGCATCCTGTGTTTAATCTGGCAACCCTAATCTCTGCAAATAAAATGTAAATTATATCTATCACATACAAAGAAGCATATACCAATAAATTAATAGATACACCTCAGTGGGGAAAGGCTTAAAAAACATCCCTCTCACAAAGCAATAATTTTTTTTTAAAGTGCATTACAACTTCCAATTATGGAGACAGAATATTTAATTGCACAATATTTAATTTTTTTACTTAATAGTCATTATGAAGACAAAATTCTATTTCCCCAGGAAAAGCAAGTGAACTGAAACAATGTGAATGCACAGAAGATAAATTTAATGGAAGAATCAGAAAATTTATTGGAATTCCCTTCCTCCTCCTCTTCTGAAAAATAACTGTGATCACACTAACGTCTTGTAGTACTTCTTTCTCTACAGAAGCTCCAGTATTTCACAGGAACTGATTCCACAGAGTGGGAAAAAAACCAAAAAACAAAAGCAGAATATGTCCTTCTCATTTCATAGATGGGTCAACCAAGACTCAGGAAAGTTTAATCAGCACAATGAAAGGTTTTCTGTGGGAAGTTAATATCTGGCGGGAAGTGAATCCATGGCACGTATTTAAAGCTATCTAAGGAGGTAAAAGACTTGTACTCAAAAACTGTAAGATGTTGATGAAAGAAACTAAAGACGACACAAAGAGATGGAAAGATATACTGTGTTCTTAGATTGGAAGAATCAATATTAAAATAACATACCACCCAAGGCAGTCACAGAGTCAATGCAATCCCCATTCAAATGCCAATGGCATTTTTCACGGAACTAGGACAAACAATTTTAAATTTTATATGGAAACACAAAAGACCCTGAATAGTCAAAATAATCTTGAGAAACAAGGACAGAGCTGGAGGAATCTGCTCTTCAGACTATACTACAAAGCCACAGTCCTCAAAAGAGTATGGTACTGGCACAAAAACAAAAACATAGCTCAATGGAACAGAATAGACAGCCTACAAATAAACCCACACCCTTATGGTCTATTAATCTACAACACAGGAGGCAAGAATACACAATGGAGAAAAGACAGTCTCTTTCATAAGTGGTGCTGGAAAACTGGACAGCTGCATGTAAGAGAATGAAATTACAACATTCTCTTAACACCATATACAAAATAAACTCAAAAAGGACTAAAGACCAAAATGTAAGACTGGAAACCATAAAACTCCTAGAGGAAAACATAGGCAGAACACTCTGACATAAACTATAGCAATATATATATATATATTTGGATCTGTCTCCTAAAGCAAAGGAAATAAAAGCAAAAATAAACAAATAAGACACAATTACACTTAAAAGCAGCAGAGGAAACCATCAACAAAATGAAAAGACAACCTCCTGAATGGGAGGAAACATTTGCAAATGACATGACTGATAAGGGGTCGATATCCAACATCTATAAGCAGCTTATACAACTCAACATCAGAAAAGCAAATTACCTGATTGAAAAACGGGCAGAAGACCTGCACAGGCTTCTTTCTGAAGAGGACATGCAGATGGCCAACACACACAAGGAAAGATGCTCAACATCACTGATCATCAGAGAAATGAACATCCAAACCACAATGAGACATCACCTTGCACCCATCAGAATGGCTTTCCTCGAAAAGAACACAAATAAAAGTTGGTGAGGCTGTGGAGAAAAGGGAGCCCTCCTACACTGCTGGCGGCAGTGTAAATTGGTGCAGCCACAGTGGAAAACAGTATGGAGAGTTCTACAAAATGACTCAGCAATTCTACTCCTGAGTAGATGCCTGAAGAAAATCCAAGACACTAATTCAAAAAGATACGTGCACCCTCATGTTCATAGCAACATTGTTTACAATTGCCAAGATTACCTAAGTGTCCGTCAACAGATGAACGGATGAAGAAGATGTGAGATAGATACACACACACACACACACACACACACACACACACTAGAATACTATTCAGCCATGAAAAGAATGAAATTTTGCCATTTGCAACAACATGGATAGACTTGGAGGGTACTATGTTAAGTGAAGTAAGTCAGAGAAAGACAAATATGTATGCTATCACTTATATGCAGTATATAAAAATACAACAAACTCGTGAACGTAACAAAAAAGAAACAGACTCACACAGAGAACAAACTAGTGGTTACCAGTAGGGGGAGGGAAGGGGGAGGGGCAATATGGGGGAAGGGGAGTAAGAGGGCCAAACTTTTATGTATAAAATAAGCTACCAGGATATATGATACAATACAGGGAATTCAGCCAATATTTTATAATAACTACGAATGACGTATAACCTTTAAAAACTGAATCACTATATTGTATTCCGGTAACATATAATATTGTACATTCAATTATACTTCAATACAAAACAACAACAAAAACCCTTAGTAGAGACAGTGACTTGAAAAAGAGTAAATATTAAAAAAAAGTTTCTCCCTGAAGCATATCACTTGGCAGTCAGCTCTATAAATGATTTAAACCCACAAGGCCCTGTCCCCTGCCTTAGCTAAGCCAGGAAGCCCCTCCAGGGCTTGGGTGATAGAGGCATTTGGAGAGGCCTGTGTGCCCTGGTTTGTGACCAGCAGCCATTTCTTCACCTGCTTCGTTCTTAAATGGTGTGGGGGTGGGGTGGGGGGGGTCCTTCCATTTTTCTTTTTCCTCATTTCCAGAGGTTGCAGGATTCCTATCTTTCTTGTCACAGAGCTCATCCTTCCTGAGATCATGAGGGTCTAAGCTGCCCATCCTTGTCCTCAACTGGAAGATGAAAGACGTATTCGAACCTAATGCTTCTAGCAGCCGCACTGAATCAAGAATTTTGGGAGAACTGGGTTTTTTATAGGTAAGTTATGATGATGGTTTAGGAGGCACAGAGCTCCAATTCTACCCAGAAATGGAAAAGAATAAACTTTTTCAAGTCAGCTTCTAAGATAACTAGATTTGGAGTCAAGCTGACCTGAACTTTTATTCTTTGTCCATCC